TGGTCAATGTGGGATGTGAGTGACAGATATTTTACAGCTGAAGAAATGAGAATGCAGAAATTCAAGAGTACCTCTGGGATTTGCCTGGTCATTTGTGGGCAGCGCAAGGGCAGGGTGGGCTGCGATGCTAACGTAGAACTGCTTCTTGTTGTGACTGCTGCGGGCAGCTGCCGATTCACGGCGTTTTAAATACTACTTCTATTAACAAGGCTATGTTTCTGCTTTGATGGAACCATGCAGAAAGCTGCTCACTAGGCTTTCGGTTGTATACTAAACTGCTTTAATTGCTTTCCTATGCTTTATTCAGAAATCTGGTAAAAACTGAATTCAGTAGAAAATTGCTTTCAGATTTAGCATTTTTGAACATAAAGGTTTTCATAGACGTTGACATAATCTATCAAAAAGCTGCGGGAAGCTTATTTTCCTCCTCTACCCAAAAGTATCAAATGGTTTTTGTTTTACCAAAAAAAAAAGAAGAAGAAGAAGGAAAAACTCATTGGTAGATATTTAGGTGATGATTATAGAAAATAATAACAAAATAGAATGCAATTCAGGGGGGAAAAAGCATTTCTCTTTTCTACTTGGACATAATTGGAAGCACGTTTTTTGGCTCTAATTTTAATGTAGGTCAAAGAGAAATTGAACATTCAAATTACAAAAAAGCCTCAAATATATTTAAACAATATTTTAAATACAATTTTTAGGTTCACTATTCTCTATGAGATAAAAGAAGGAAGTTTTTAAAAATATAATAATTTAAATACACTGATATATAAATTTTAGGGAGTATAAGGTTTATAAGAAAAGTGAAAAATGTCTGAGAATTTTTACAAATATTCTCCAAAATCCACAGGCGTAAGTTTAAAATAGAACAATAAAAATCATTTCTTTGTAAAGCATAATGCAAAACTAATAATGCACTTATATTTTCAGTACTCTTTATAGTGTTAAGATGGCAAAGCAGGGACTGTCTTATTTTAGGACTGAGTCATCCCTGACATTTACATATTATAAACACAATATTTGAATTTCCCTTTTTGAGAAAGATTATATTAGCTATACTAAGTTAATATACTTTTGTCCATTCAACTTACAGAGCTCATGGGATTTCACTTAAACTAAACTGACATAGAAAAGATACATTTAAAAAAAAATCAAAGCTCTCTAGTATGACTGCTTAAAAGGACAACTATGATATACAGGCAATATGAATACTAGGTTTTGCTTACAAAGATAGGTACCTGCCTTCATTTTCTATTATTTCCACCAGGGCAAGACCAAAATATTACCTTCCAAAATTAAAATGAAAACCATATGTTGATGAGGGAAAACATGTAATGTCATAGCACATTTCAACATTCAGTGAAAGAGTTAATGCTGAAATCTTCTCCAAAGAGAAAGAAGACACATTGATTCAGATTTATATTAGAATGTTGTTTGATGTAATTTGCCAAATGTTTCCATTTTTAAATAATTACTTATGTTAAATAAATAGAAGTATGCATTTAAGCAGTGTGATATAAAATTAACACTTTGCTATAATATTAAGAACAGGGATACAGTTTTCCCCCAAATTGAATAAAACTCTCCATAAAAAACAACAATATACTGGAAAAACGTACAGTCACAATTACTTTTTTCCCTACTTAGTAATGCAAAGACAAATTGTTCTCCTTTGGAAATCAAATATTTTCCTAACCGCTGTGTTTCTTTAATTAAACTGTATTCTTTATAGTGATCAAACATAATTAGTAGTAACAAGTATTTAATGAAAACAAACTGCTACTCCCAAACCTTTACTACATGTTTTGTTTAAATCCCACAGATGCTCCAAAGATTACTATATCTTTGTCACAAGTACAAAAGCATACCCCCTCCCCACTCTGCCCACCCCAATTTGCCAGGAGCATTTAAGACAACAATAAAAACAACAAAAATTTCTGTAATTCCAGGGACTTTAGTTCACATTCAAATCCTGCTCCTCAGCTCAAGGCATCACTTCCAAAGAAGCTTAACACTTAGCCCCTCAAATATTTTATAGATTTGTTCTTCAGAAATCCCACTTGATATCATCATATAATAAAGCATTACCATGGTATCTTTGATTATTAGTAAGTGGCCAAAATAGCAAGAAAAGTGCCCATGCTGCACTCATTGACAGCTAGGTGATATAGCAAGTCTTCTGTAATTAATTGTGAGTGAAAGGGGGTTTGGTTTTGCAGCCTCGTAAAACTTTTCCCACATGGCTGAACCCACGGTCAGGAGATGTTAGGCAACATTAACTGCCTGCACATTTCTGCAGGGCTCTAGAGGAACAGCTAGGCACTGGGGCTCCAATCCTGAGAACCCTGGGACATAAGACATCAGCGTCTACCTTTCATCTTAGCTGAGATTTGGAGTGGGTTCAGACCACAGAGGCTCCTTAATTCTCACTAATTCATTTGCTTTCCTGATTCACTTGGCTTGGGATAACCTGAGAATGATAATGAACCTGTGAGGGGAGCTCTTAGTCCCTTGCTTTTGAATGTGCTTGGCATGGATCGAGGGCTTTCTCTGAATCTTGCAAGACGAAAAGAATCTTATTAGCACTGATTGCTAGTCATGAGGTTTCCTCTAAAAATTGCTCTTGTGTTTTAACTCTTACTTGCTTTTTGCAAAGCAGAGTAGTGGGGAGGGAAAAAAGTTAGGTTTTTAATACGCATAGTCTAGAAGCTGGGGTGATATTTTAGGGGTGTGATTTCAACCAAATCCTGGCTGCCAGCTTTTTCTTAGACTCTGAAAAGCAATCTCAGTGTTTCTCACTGTTTTCTACAACTGAGGCTAAGTTCCTTTTCAATTCCCATAGATAAATACATTCTTGTACTAGAGACCTGGGGTTTTTCAAAAGAACATCCAAATCTTTTTTTTTTTTTTTTAAGAAATCATTTTTAGACTTAATGTACACAGAAGTTGTCAAGTTTACACACATTTCTGGTGTTTGTGGAATTCTGTTGGATTGACACTTTTGTTTTTACAATTAGTGTACTGTGAACCTTTAACTTCTACCTAGGTAAGAATTTGTGCTTGAGATGAAAACGTCAATAAATGAACTGGGCAAAGTGGTTTGTTTTAGTGAAGCAATAAAAGGGAAATTTGGATCTACCAGTCTAATTGAAGGTGATCATTCTTTAGATTTTGAGATACTAAACTACTGACCAAATTATTCCCTTGTCCAGTTGTAACCGTGCTTTCACATGCTCAGTTGCACAGACCCTCCTGTGCACATGCTAACAGGTTATATGCAGCAGCTGCAATGAAATAGATGCACCAAGAGGGAGCAGGGGGCTTGACTCAAGAATTAGAAAGAGACTTCAGTGGCAAGGCAAAATGATAACACATTCTGATACCTTACAAAAGATACATGACCTCTAATGTCACATGCTTATCTACCATTTGGGGACTCTCTTATCAAGATTTAAAATTTCCTCCACAATCTGAGTGACCAGAGCAACCCATGACATCCATATATAATGTTAGTAAATTTGTAGTATAGGTATTGGGGCAACTGAAGCCATAAGTCATCACCCCATTTTGAGCATACAGAATACCAGAATGCTAAAGCAGAAGAGAGCTTTAGAGTTCATCCAGTCCAACTCATGGGGATTTTAAAGATGACAAAATCGAGAGCCAGAAAGTTTGCAAGATTTGTCCAAGGTCAAATAGCTATTTAATGATAGAAATGTGAAGAGAACTCAGTATTCATATTCAAAGTCCTGTGCTCTAGCTGAGATAATGCACTAAGAGTGCTAGAATTTCCATACAAACTGTTTTGACATTGCAATGCACATGTTCAAGAGTTTAATGCTAATGGAAAGTATTTCAAGGTGTAATCTGTCCTTTCAAACCAACCACTGGTCCTCTTTATTGACTTTCTATGACCTGACACATTACCTGTTTCAATTTTTACTTTTTCCAAGGACTGTCCTTTTTATTTCTTTGCAGTCAGAGAATGTTTTCACTAATTAAATAAGTGGAAATCAGGGATCCCATTTTCACTCATTTCCCTTTCTCCATAATCTCACACTATTCCCCTCTATGCTCATTCTTCAGCATTAGGACCATCTTTACTTCTGGGCAACCCTTGGCAAATCTTTACTAAAGTAAGAGTTTATTTACAGATTATTTCTAATTCTATGAAATCTCTAGTTGGTGCAATTTCACAACATCTGTGGATATAAAATTAGAGAAATGTTTATAAAAAACACATTAATGCTTTTATCATGGAGACATGCTCATTTCAAAAAACATAGACCAGTGAATAAGAACAGGGCTTTGGGAGCTGACAAATCTGGGCTTAAATCCCAAGCCCCAATATTTACCATGATCTTAAGCAAGCTATTTAACCTCCCTAAGTCTCCATTTTCTTTTTTATAATACATGAGGCTTATAAAGTCTTGCCACAATGCCTAGCATATAGTAGGATCTCAATAAATGTTAGCTATATTGTCATCATTATTATTACTATTATTAGTGACATTGCTTTCCTATTAGTATAAATAATTCAAGATGCATTTTTGAAGCATTGTAAAGCTCAAGTAGCTGTGGTTTGAATAGACTTGAGGGCTGCCCTGGAGAAAATGGTGAGATATAGAGGTGAAATTCTACTTCAAGCATTCCAGCTTGAGAACTTGAAAGCGATGACATTACTTGTCACACCCTAAAAGGGTGAATCTTGGAAGCAGATTTCAATGAAGTGGCAATGATATTTGTGGATTTGTGTCAGGTGAGGGCAACAGAGAGCTATCCAGGCAGACAACACTGGAGGCATGAAAAACCGTGAACTTGGTTATCAGTCCCCATGGGAAGCAGATAAGCCAGTTTGAACTGAGGAGAGAGTCAAGAATGGACCCATATTAGAACCCAGAGTCTCTGCTGGGCCCAGAAGAAGGTCAAAGGTAGAAGCCAGGAGCACATCCACTCACCAAGCAAGAAAAAGGAGGAAAACATAAAGTAGAACTAGAATGGAGTCAGGACAGATAGCAGCAGCCACAGCTATTGAAATCCCTCGGAAAGCAGTGTCCATAACTCTTTATGATGAAGCAGTTCAGAGCTTCCCAACTGAACCCAGACAGCTGTCACAAGCCTTGGTGAAGGCCATGATGACTCTGGTCTTTAATATTTACAACTGAGGTAGCAGTAGAAGCATACAGTACAAATAACCAACCCAGAGAAAAGATGAGCAAACTTAGCAGAAAATTCGAGAATCTATTGAGGAAAGCCAAGGAAATGATCACCTATTGAGCACCCACTACACATTCTGCATTCGCACTTAATCCTTTCTATCCTATGCACTAGGCATTATTATTCCTACTTTGCAATGAGAAGACTGAGGTTATGAGAAATTAAGAAATGTATCCAAGCTCACATAGCTCATTAACAGAAGGACCACATAGAATTAGAATGAGTATCTGTCTGATATCAAAGCTCTTTCCATCCATTCCTGCTGCTCAGAATTAAAGCCATGAGAAAACATGAGTTCTCTGAAGGACCAAAAACAAAACAAAACAAAAAGAAGAAAAGAGTCAAAAAGTCAAGTAAGTGTTTAATGCAAGAGTAATTTCAGGAATTAGGACTGATAACACACTTCTGGACTTGGCAAGTAGGAAGACACTAGCGACATTGGGGAAACGAGTTCCTGTAAAGTGATGAGGATGGAAGCCGAAAGCCAGACTGTCAGTGAGGAGTGGTAAGAGGATCGTGGCTAGAATCGTAAATTGCTCTTTGGAGAAATTTGGCAGTGAAAGTGTAGTAGCTCTAACAGTACCACAGCTGGGGACATTTTTTTTCTTTTGTTAGGAAAGACCTGAAAATATTTGTGCACAGTGATGATGGAGCCACTAGAAATTAATATAACAGTCAGAAGAAACAGGGCATTATTACAAAGCACAGTTATGTAAGAAGGAAAGAAAATGTAGCTAAAAATATATAGGCTTATTTGAGTTGGTAAAAAGAATGCAAGTATAGAGATATTTGGAAGTTAGAATGTGACGGGAAATAAAACTTGGGTCAGATATCTTTGATCAGTCAAGTAGGAGACAAAAGTATCTGCTGTAAATGAAATATCTCAAAGTGGATCTTCAAGTGGTAAATAAGTGAATGAATGAATAAATGACAAAGAGAAAATCTAGTGGCATGCTTTGGTTAGTGTCAGAGAGAAGCAATATAGCAAATAGACAAAATTTCATCATTAAGTGAATTTGGAGCACTGAACAATCCCAGTGTGTGGTGAAAGTTGATGAGCCAGAGCTGTTATAAACTGACCCTTCCAGGTCTATTACAGCCCACCTAGAAAATGAATCCTATTGCAGCCCCTGTGGGAAACAGATATGCTAATTATATAAGCACCATCAGTCTTGAATTTCTCAGCTGTGATATTTAGTAGTTTTCATTGAAATCAGGACAGTTAAAAACTCCATAACTGCCTTCTCCTTCTACCATATGCAGAGTTAAAATGACTGGTACACGACTTCCATAGGCAGAATACAGCAGACTTCATCTTTATGCCTAAACTCCTCTGTTAAAACAAAAGCCTGCTTGTAAATCCTAATTTTTTAGGAAAAAAAGAAGTGTTGCAGGCCTCACATTGTAAGCATTTAAAATATCTTGACAGGAATGAATATTAGGTGTGGTAATTCTCTTTAGGTATAGGAAAACCTGGATAAGGTATAAGCTTGGGAATTGAAAAGATAAGATGGTGTGGGTAGAGTGGGTGGGTATCTGTTATCTTTCTTCTTTTATCTTTAAAAATCTATGGCAAATCAACTTCCCTTTATTAGTGGAGTATTATCTAACAAGTCAGTCAACATTTGAAGTATGTACTTGAACAAGGTAAGAACAGAAAAATACCTTTTATCAGTCTATAAAATTAACTTGCTTGAATTCTAAAATTTAAATCCAACTTTAATGAAAAGGAAACTTTTTCCTCAGCATTGATACCATTTATTCTGATGTAATTTGTATTTCATAAAGTTCTGTTAGCCTGGAATTCAAGAGACATTCATGAATTCAGAATGCTTTACAAATCCCTCTATAGAGGCACATGTTGATTTAGGAAGTGTCCACATGACAGTAAAACAACCAATCAATTCAGTGAAAAAAAATCAATTGATTCAATAAAAACATCAAACAGGCTGTTTGCTGTCATGAAGATCAAACTACTGTTTGACAGAACTTTTACTTTTTAATCAATGGTATTGATGTCTGTAAACACTGTCTTAAGTTTATCAGCCCATGTTCATTGTACAAAAGAAGACCAACTTGCTAATCATTAAGTAATTTCAGCAAGAGAACACATAGGAAAACTTAAATTTCAAGACCAAAATTTCAACTTCCACTTTGCAGCTCTTCCTATGTCTAATTTCTTTCTTATTAATCTCCTTCCAAGAGAAATTTGTGGTGCCATTAAAACACGCTATACCTCAGACAAAGCTGTCATCACACTGAGGAGCATCTTCTATGTTTACCCCCAAAACAAAGGCGGTAGATTTTAGCATTCCTTTCTTTATATGCACCATTCATCTTTCTTGGTTGATATTCCTCGAATTTGTAACATATCCATCATTATCTAACTGCCAACTGCTTTCAGTGGAGTGTTGCTTTAAGCTCATTATTTCTTCCCATTGGAGAATCTGCAGAGCTTCTTTCTACAACTCACAGCAGCCAGCATGGTACGTGTGTACAGATGAATGGTCAGGTTTGTCCTTCAGAGTCCCTTTGTACCCAGCTTTGTCCCAGAACTGCAGCGCATAATGAGCAGCAAATGCATACTCATGTGCCTTAAAAGTGTACCGTGAAACCTGTAAAAAAAAAAAAAAAAAAAACAAAAAAAAAAGAAAAAAAAAAAAAAAAAAAAAAAAAAAAAAAAACAAAAAAAAAAAAAAAAAAAAAAAAAAAAAAAAAAAAGCCAAAATAAAGACCACATTTACAAATAAGCTGTTAGCATAGCCACATAACTCCATAGAGTTTCCTACCTACCTAAGAGTTTGGGGATTAGGATGACTCTCCTATAATTAGTTTACACAAAACTTCCTCGTAGTCAAGCAGGGTTGATTGGGCAGCTGTCTTTCAAGAAGAGTTACATGAGCTACACTTGGGGAGATTTCAGACTAAATCTGAGAGTGGATGATGAAAGCACTAACATGCAGATTGTGGAGAAAGTAAGCGAAGACTCTATGAATGCTCTTAGTTTAAAGGGCTGTGTAAGTGTATCCACAAGGCACTGAGTTACAATCAGAGAAAAAGATGTGTGTCCCATGTCTCTTTCTATAACTCATTATTTAACAACCCAAGTTAACAGGCACAGATGCTCCAGAGTTACTGAATGCAATTTTCAGAATTTTAAAGATTGACTAGTACTTGGAAATATTGAAAATGTAAAATTTACCATCTCTGCACTGATCTCAAGAATCTATTTTGGGACATGAGATAATGGGGAGTGGATCTACAAATAATTGCTAGGTAACCAAAATAAAGCTTTTTTCTTTTCTCTCTCTTTCCTTTAATATAGGTCAAAGTGAATACACATAACACTCCACCAGGATCAGACCCGGTTTTGCACATTGTGTACTGTTATTGTTTTTGTTAAAGCAAAGAAAAGCCAGGAGGATTAGTTATCTCAGCTGTACATATCTGAGTTACAGAAACACAGCTGGAAAGTCATGGTTTCCACCCCTTCCACAGTCTTTCCTATGGCTAAAATCAGCATGGCTCCATTGAGGTCTAAAAGACAAAGATGTATTGTCACTGACTCCTGCCATGCTAACACTCAAGTGTGCCACCTTTAGTGATCTAGAGTCAGTTTGAATCTTTGGGTATTGATAACATTTATGCTTACATCAATGGATTAAAATCACCGTTGTCATGAGAAATATGACTTCTCGCCATATGATTTTAGCAAGAATATTAAGAAATCTAACATATAAAACAAACAAAGGCATCACATCTTATGCCACAGAACATTAAAGTGTCAGACAGGACAATCAGAAAATAACTATTTTTAAGCTCTCAGCAGGAGCATATGCTGCCACTGCTAATGGTCATATACATCTCAGAATTGAAAGATGGAAGCTGCTCTAATATTTTAGATTTTGTCACAATATATCATTCTATTTTAAAAATAGATCAGTGGAAGATGCTCTTCCTTTGAAGATATTTCTGTGCTGCTTTATACGCAAATTTTTTTTTTTGTGTGGATTCTATTTATCCTTTGACCAATTCTTTTCAAGTCTAAAAGTAAGGATTGTCCCAATTTTCTAGGTTCCTATGAAAGAAAGAACAAGCTGTAGTAGTTCAGCCACTTCATGCCATTTTTCTATGAAATTAAAAGGTCATAGAACAACTAAAGGGTTTGATTGTAGAAAACACCATTTATCAAATGTTTTATTTAGATGTCATATAAAGCAATGGGTAGTTGTAGATGTGTTGAAAAAAACCTTACACATATTAATCATTAAGATGATATTTGCCTTTTATATTTTAATTAAAAAATTTACCGATATCATTCAAGATTCACATGCATTTGTATGAAATCATACAGAAAGGTCCCCGATTTCCCTACACACTTTGCCCAGTTTTCCCCATGGACAACATTTGCAAAATGATAGTACAATGTCACAATCATGATAATAATATTGATGTAATCAACCTATCTTATTCATATTTCCCTAGACTTATTTGTACTCTCTTGCATGTTGTTTTATGCTGTAAATGTTTCAATATTCCAATTTTAGGAATTATCTTTATTAAATTTTGTCAAAGCATGTAATAGGTAGGTGCCATCTGGTGTTTGACCTGGAGCTAACTATCTCCCTGGTTCTGTAAAATTAAGTAGTTAATATGTTTGGTCAAATTTTATTTCAAGAACTGATTTGCTGCAACTGTAATAGTAGCATAGTCCAAGACCAAGACAGATGTTAAACAAGAAGACATAAAAGCTTACAAGCAACATGGCTGACTTCCCCTCCAAAAAACTAGGTGCTTTGAAGAACACTAAAAATTATATGAGACAGATCTCAAGGTTCCCGCCTGTGTGTGGCAATGGGTTGATTTTTGTTATTATTTTTACTGAGTGCCCTCTGGGTATACAGTTCTATATGAGTGAAAGAAAATA